GGCCCCCACTGCAAATAAATGGAAAGAAAATAAAAGAGAGCACACAAATTTTTAACGTGGTTCGGCACTTCAAGACCTACTCCACGACCCCCTCTGGGATAAAATCTCACTAGTAATTTTTGCACGGAAAAATTACAAACCCTCTCCAATATTTGACACTCACAACCTAAAATCTAATACACAATTATATAGATTGAAGGATTGTGTTGTGTGATGGAAGCCTATATCTCCTCTTTATTTATAGGCTCCAATCCCTCCTCAATTTTCCTATCCCACCGATGTGGGACTTTGAAGTAACACTCAACAGAGCGCAGCACGCTTGTGGTCAGCGGCGGCAAGGCGAAGGAATCTGACGGCGAGGAAGATGGTGAGATGATGAAGGCGCTGCTGCCGGTGAAGGTGGATCTGCCTGCGAAGAGCAAGAAGGCGTACAAGCTGAAGGAGATCAAAGCTGAGATGAAGAACGGTGTGCTGAAGGTGGTGGTTCCCAAGGTGAAAGATGAAGAAAGGGGTGACGTCGTCCATGTCAATGTCCAGTAGCTTTTCTCCATGATCATCGATCATCGTCTTCGTTCTTATCTTATCTCTAATCTTAGTCGTTATCTGAAATGTTAATAATAACTCTATCAAGCTAGAAGATCTATGGATCAGTGTTTGGAAATGTTAGTTCAGTGAATGAATGAATGAATCTCAGGTCATGATGAATTCCTGCTATCTTTTTCTCTTATCTTGTTTTCTGTATTTTGGGTTATTGGAAAGATGAAAATTCTATTTGTCGGATGGAATTTGGTTAATTGGATCTGCAGGTTGGGCATGCAGATAATAATTATTAAAAAACAAAAGTGAGTGAAATAAAAATGCATGGATGGTAAGGAATCTATCTGGTCTGATTCACCCACCTAAACCAAACAAATAACAATATTTGTTGACTAAATACACACTGCTAGCAAGTAATTAATGAACTAAATTAAAATCTAGCAAGAATATTTTAGTGGAGGGCCTCGCAAATTGATTTATGATTAGACTGGTCAGTATATTTTCAATCTACTTCGTATTAAAGTAATTAAACATTGTGATCAAAAAAAATTTACTCCATATGAAACATTAATAACCGCAGAGCCGTATAGTAACTTTAAAATATAGTTGATGGCTATAAACCACCGAGAATATCAAATAATACTCCGTATAAGTTTTAGAGAGAGAGAAAATGCAAAGTAGGAGTATCTTTATTTAGAATTCGGATCCATTACAATGAGCGGTGTCACTCCTTTTATAGGGGTACAATACATTAAGTCAAAGCCTTCTAATCGAGGCTCGTCGTTTAACGGACGTCACATGTCCCTTGGTCTTGTCCCTTTCATCCTATCGCTTTCATTAAGTCTTTGTCGCACGTCGTTTTCTTCACGTCATTGTCGCGAGGGTCGGGCTCGGCTTGGTTGGCCGAGCCGAGCAGGAGGGACGAGCGGAGCCCTGAGCTGAGCAGAGTGGACGAGCGGAGCCCTGAGCCGAGCATGGTGGACGAGCCTGATACTTAGGAGATTTTATGCTATTGTTAGTCCTAGGATGACGTGGGGTTATTCCCCATCAATAGTCATCCTTTGACCTTATTTAGAAATAAAGTTTTCAGTTTATGTTTTCAATATCTGTTTCTGATTATTTATTCAGTTTGATTTTTACATTCAATAGTATTGATCCTTTACCTATAATTAAAGACAAATTAGAAGGTATTTTACTTCGATAAAATAACATCTTGAAAATATTTTACAAGATGAATCCAATAAAATTCTTGTTGTAACAATTTCAATTATAACTTTTATGTAACTAATAGTTAAAATTATCAATTTTAACTGCAAAAAGTCAAAACCGAATAAATCCTAAGAGACATAGATAGTATGATATAGATTAATTTGCAAAAATTTAAATCTAAACGCTATCGTTAGATATTCCTTTTAAAATATTAACTCTAACATGTTGCCAAATGGACTCTTTCTCCCTTTTACAATATGCATCATCTTTCCTAAAATATTTGTCTAGTTTTATTTTTTCTATAGTCAACGAGGATTAATATTTGATCAATAATTCAATAAACGATACTAGTATATGATAAACTCCCTTTCGTTTCGCAAAAGAGTTTCATTTTTTTACTTTTAAAAAATTAAGAAGTGTTTATTTTGTAATTAATTTTCTAATTTCTTCTCAGTTGTATGATGTGATATGTAAATTATTAGTGATTAGATATGATGTAAAATGTTACGTAATGGTTAGTATGGATAAAATAGACTATTCAATGGAATATGGAAATTTTTATAGGAAGAATAATGAAAAGTGGAAGTCATATATTGTTTTGTGAAACATATGGAGTATTAGTTATGACTTATAAGTATATAAAAAATATTTGGAAAAATGTTTTATAAGATAAGTCTATTACTCTATTTGTCCCGAATTAATAGTCCTCATTTTTCTATTTTGGGTGTCCCAAAGTATAGTCTTCTTTCCCTTTTCGTGGTTCATAAATTTTTATAGTTTATGCATCACTTTAGATAGCATAATTTTACTTTTTAAAACTCAGTGACGAACCAAATGTGAACTACAGAGTATTAATTTGGGAGGGAAGGTGTGCAATTATTTTTGTATCTTAATGCTTAATGTTTTCAATTTGATTACAAAAAGTCAAACTTCTACAGACACTTTGAGAAGAAGTAAGTGTACTCAATCTTTTCATCATATTTGATTGGATATGATTAGGGGCGGATTCACTCTACATCTAATGGGGGCACTTGCCCCTAATGAAATTTTGTTTTTATCTACTTCCTCTGTCCCACAAAAAGTTCCCATTTTGAATAATATTTAGTCAAATATTTACACGCTTTGACTATAAATTGTGAGAAAGGTATATTGAATTTTAAAATAAATTTAATATAATTGAATTCATCTTAAGATCTAGTTTTGATATCTCAAATTCTTTTAGCATTTTTTTTATTTAGATTATATTTAATTTATAGTCAAAGCGTGTAACTGTTTGACCAAAAATACATCCAAATGGGAACTTTTTTGTGGGACGGAGGGAGTAATTAATAATTAAGATTTCCCTAAAATTTAATATTGCCCCCAATGAAAAAATAATTTGCCCCTAGTGAAAAAATGTTCAAATAGAAAAATGAATTATTTAGACTTTTTTGAAATGTACAAATTATTTAAACTAAAAATAAAAGAATTTCAAAATGAAAATTAAACTATAATATTAAATAGAAGATAATTCGAAAATAAATTTTATAAGAGAAAGTAAAATTATAGAGAGTACTTGGGTACTTTACCTAAATAGGATTAAAACATAATGACTTTTCCAATATAGCAGCATATGTTTTTATTTTCCAATTTAGGACCTTTGGTCATTATCTATTACTCATTATTCAACTAAATGTCTAACATCACTTAAACATTATTTTTCTCACTAGACATTATTAAGTCCTATTTGGGGAATAAAAAGTTTAAGTCCTACATAGGAAAATGACTTATGTTTTAGTTCTTTCACTTTAAAAAATGGGGGCGCTACCC